CACTGCCGGTTTTTGATCAAATTTTAGGATTTTCAGTGCGCCTTATGGTTGTGAAAATACGGTACATTGCATACTATTGATGTTCCAACACTGGTGCATTCATTCCATGACAATTAGCCCATGCCAAAGAATGACTCCCCATTATTTAATTGAAAATTGTATATTTGGTGTTCTCTAGATAATGCCAGTTAGTAAAAAGAGAAATAATACTCCTTTGGCATAACTGCTGATATATTAAGAAAATAAACAGTTACAGATAGGAACTGCCTACAGATAGGAAAGAAGAAATTATCTGAACTCATAAGACAGAAATACTGACCCATTTTTCTGCCTGTTGCTGAACTTCCACAGCCAGTTTCCCTTATCACTGGCCATGCTGTTCTTGGCTGCTGGAAATTAGTAACATCTAGAGGTTTTATATTCTCATTATGAAATAAGCTCCATTATAAACAATTGAATTTATTTCTGCATAGGATTACATTATATGAAGACTTTCATATAATGCATATGACAAAATAATTCCTGGCATTGCTATTGAAAATGCCATTTGTAATTATATTTGTTTTTGCAAAAAATAATGGGATACTGGCTTCAGGTGCTGCCCCACTTTATTTCAGTTTCAATTTTTTACTTGGAAAAATAGATATTGTCATTAGTTTTCAGCCAAATTAATAGCTAAGTTGATACTTCAATGGATCAGATATCTTGTATTTGAGGCTTTTATTAGGTCAGTAGTGATAAAGAACAAGATGCCTTAATACATTTTTTTAATTGTTGGGAGGGATTAAATACATTTCTATTTATCTTTGTTGTGTTTTTATTTATGTTTGGGATCTTTCTACAGACATTGGACGTGTGTATTAAAAATAGTCAAAATGAAGTGTTCAGCTTTTGTTAAAATAAATGGAACTGAAATACTTACATTTGATTTGGCAGAATTATGTATCTAAGCCATGTTAAATATTGCTACCAAATAAAATATGGTAACTACTTTTAAAACATCTCAATATCAAAAAGGTTATTGATATTCTAATAAGTGAACACATCTAAAAAGTCTGACCTAATAAAAGAAGTAAAATTGAAAGATTTGTTGGTGAAGGAAGAATAAAGGGAAGTGTATAAGAATTCACATAAAGTTGGAGTTGGAGTTGGAGTTGCGTTTATTTATAGGCCGCCCTTTTCCCTGAGGGGACTCAGGGCGGCTAACAACTTATGGGAGGGGAAGACATACAATAACATAAAAATA